CTTTCTTTTCGATCTTGTCCGGCTCCTGGCGTCTTTCCGGTCTCTGTAAAATGCGTTGAGGCGCCGGAGGCTGTGGTTGCCTAGCATTGTCTGCAGCCATAAAGGCTTTGCGGCCAGACACGAAGTCCTTAACGGCCTTCTTGAGCGCCCCGTACGAGGTAGGTGCCCTATACAAGACGAACTGTGACACGTTGGTGTGCTCCATGACCGCGTTCCGGAGTAGTCCGAACTTGACTTCACGGTTGAACTCTGCTTTATCGAAGCGGCGATCCATCACGTTTAACGACGCGAGCACGTCGTTGCCGTCCAACCTACTCGCGACTGCGAGCCTGATGTTTTCTTCCGGTTCAGGGACTGACTTGAAACGGTCGAGCAATGCCTTCTTGACGGCTTGGTAGTCGGTGGCTTCCTCGTTCAGTCCACGGGGCTGTACGTTTCATAGTAGTAGTCGAAAGCCTCCCCTTGCAGGTAGCACAGTAGCTCTACGGCTTAGTCTTCGTCGGACTTGCCTTTCATTACGACGTTTTCGTAGACAAAGAAGAACTTGGCGACATCCGCCTCGTGCTTACCATCGAACACCAGGGAAGCGGGACCCGCCTGACTGTTGGCATCGGCCCTCCACAAGAGTACCATGTTGGGGTGAAAACGGGATGCGTCGTCCCCGTGTCCTACCCGTGTGTGTTTTCTGTCACGTTTCTTCCCTTGGCCGTACAGGACGACCGAAAACCACCGCATTTATACTCATTTTGCGCACGGTCTACAATTACTAACTTAAACTTCCAATTACTTACACCGGTCCCAACCACGTGTCACAGTACCCTTCTGTATCACTGCCACTCTCGCAGATTCTGTATCGGTACTTTCAATCTACGGAGAGTACAGTGCGTACAACTGTACTAAAACGATGGTCATCAAGTCAGCAAACTTTTGCGGATGCAGTACCAGTAGCCCTCAATGCCGTAGCGGCTACCCCGTAATGCCACCTTCTATACAGTAGACCATTCACGCAAATTCTCTCGGACAGCCCAAAGAGCCAAATAACTACTGAGAAGACAACCATTTTTGACGTATCACAAATAAATATATTACACACTAACTGTAAATGTGGTCGACCTTTTCGACAAGAAACCCGCGAATCGCCAATACATGGTCAATTCCCGGACTTCGATTGAATGTGAAAGCGCGGCATCTCAACCTGTAACGCCCAGTTCATTTGATAAAAGACCGGGCCACATCGTAATGACAGAGGTCAACGCCTTTCAAAAACTCAGAACTGGTTTCTTCCCGCCCTCATCCCGCCCCCTGCCGCTCCGCCTTCTACACCTACAGTGTCAAGCCCCACTTCCCCACGTTGCCACCTTGCCACTACAATCACACACACGCCACCTTCATACCTACACAACTCCACGCCCATTTCCACTCCCTCCCATCCAATCACCCTGTCCCCAATCGTCTCTATCCCGCTCCGCACAAGTTTCTCTCCATCTGCTCTGCCACTATTACCCCTCTTGCCCCACCAACGCTTCCTCCCACGCGTGCCCCTCTCGCCTGCCTTTTCTTATCATTATCGCACACCGCCCTATGGCCTGCTCTTCATCTCACGATGCAGCACAAGCCTGCAACTCTTCGCCAATGCGTCAACTGATCGCCGTAATGAGCTCGAGGCGTTCGAGGACGAGCGCCCAGATGACAGTGATGAGGGTAATGGGACTGATGCGCCAATATTTGACCAATTCTACGATCAGGACGGTGCGAAGGCCATTCTGGAGATGACCAACGTCAACCCGGCCCAATTCAACGGCATTTGGGCTGGGTTTGAGGCGTTGGTCCTTGCAAACTACAACGTGGGTCCTGGGCGCAAATGAACGCAGAAACCTGAAGGCGTGCTGTTTATAGTATTGGCGGTTCTCAAGCACGGAGGTACGTGGGATTTTTTTTGGCGAGGATGTTTGGGCATAAAACGTCCGCGTTTGAGCGAATAGTGCTTCGGTTTATACAGCTCTTATCCGAACCTTTTTATGAGCACTACGTCTCAAACAAAACGAAAAGATGGACCATGACGGAACTGCACGCAAATGGGCATGTTTTTAAAAATCATCCCATGGCAAGGTACGCCACGGTTGTGACGTTCAAGCCTGCCTTCAGGGCGTCGGGCAGTGTCGAGGAGGGAAAGCGGTATTACCTTGGTAAACACAAGTTGTATGAATACAAGGTTGAAGTCTCAGTTACCCCAAATGGTTTCGCTGCCGGGTGTAGTATGCACGAGCCCGTGTCCGTTTCCGATCTTGTCATTTTCCAGGAAATTCAGTGATTTCATCGCCGCACCCAGCGCAAAAGGAGTAATGAAATGGACATGGCAGACAGCAGCCCGCTTGCAGAGAGGTATCCGAACTAGTGGGCAGTGCTAGCCGATAAAGGCTATCAAGGCGCTGGGGAGTTTTGTAGAATTATTCATCCCAAGCGCAAACCACAAGGCTCTTCTTTGTCTCCCGAAGATGTTTCGACAAACAAATTTATATCTAGTTACCGCATTTTAGTATAGAACTACTTCGGACGTTTATGCGGGCTTTGGAATGTGTTAGGGTCGAAATGGAAGTGGTGCGAGATTAATTATGACCCCATATTTCGTATATGTCTAGGGCTGACGAACAAGCGCATACGCTGGAAGCCGCTGCGAGATGACGACATGCAGTTATATCAGCAGCTTACAAGCAGGTGGTACCACATTGGGAATTCTCAACTCGAACGACGCCGAAGGATGCAGAAGCGCTATCGTCAGAGACGAGCGGACTTCGTGCAACGCCAATTGCGTGCAGAGGGGGTGCAGGAGCTGTTTGGGAGACAGCCAAGCGAAAGCATGTAGGGACAGCAGAAAGATACTGTACTATCGTAAAAGTATCATTTTTTCTCTCGATTTTTATGCATTGCTGTAGACGGCGTTGAGTCGGCTGTTGGTATCAGACGCATGAGACATGGTACACGTGTGCAAGGAAACAGTGAGCGGGATGTCACAGCAGGCACGAACCGCCTTCCGTTGGAGTTTGGGTGGGGAACGGATCTGCACGCAACCTTCGCAAAGGCAACAGGAGACGGCACCAAAAGGATACCTCCAGGTCGTCGAGACTCCATTTCGCACAGGGCAGCTCTCTCCACCCCTATTTATTTCCCTCGACCCCGGCCCTTCGGCCGCTTCTCGCACGCCTTCATCCATCTCGTAGTTCTATCGTCAAGTCGAAGATCCTCGCGTTCGCACCTCAAATCTACTTTGGAATCCAATTCTCGAATGGGATTTTCATTTCCATTCAGCTTCGCTTTCCCGCACTTTCGTCCTCTTCACGTCCTTTGAACACGCAGCTGAAAGTGCACATCCCTGAAAGTTCACATCCCTGGAAGGACACTGTCTGACATCCGCAAATCTGGATACCTTGCCAGAGATACATTCTGTCCACGTATCCCACGTGTATATCTTACAGTTGAAGTCCATTACAGCATATTTTAGCTCACCTTCAAAAGGACCGAGTCGTCCTGCAATTGTCACTGTTCTGTGCAAATCCCCTCATTTGCGTTGGAGACCTAGTGCAATCCTCTCGTTTTCGAGACCCTATTCTACTAGGTCTGCGAGTCAGATGTTCAGCTCGTCATCGTAGGCCTCTCATATGCGAAAATCGTTGATCTTTTCGGAAGGCATGTGATCTTGGCATACTGGGGTAAATTAAATCGAGATGTATCGCAACGCATGCAGGAAAACGGTCTTTTTACTCAAATGTCGTTCATGACTCCAGGTACAGACTATCAACGTAATGGCTCAGAAAAATTTCAATCGCTGACCTTCTCCTCCTCGTCACCAAACAGAGCACTTACCCCCTCCTGTTCTTCCCTCGTGCGCAACGTGCGTTCCATTGCGCGCTTCCTACGCTTTCGATACGAGGCCCGAGCACGTTTGCGCTTATTCACGCTCGTTTGTGCTATATCGTGCAAACGTTCAAATAACGTTCATACGATATACCATCACTGTCTCGCAACGGATGCCATCTGATATGTACATTAGTCAATGGCATCATCAAACGAAATATGTCGTCGAACCAATCCTCAGCCCATCGATATTTGACTCTGGATAAACGTCACGTCGTTTGCGTAGCGACATATATTGTAATTTTTGAAAGTTTTCTTCTCTGATATGAGCCTGGTCATCGAGTACCGGCGCTCGTACAATGTGACAAACTTGGAGTAAGCATGTTTCGAAAGCATTTTGATCATCTTGGTCACTCTTTTTTCGAACGTCGGTGCCTTCATTCCAAAAAGATATGCCATCATGTCCTATTTGCTTCCATGTTTCAGTACGCTAACCGTCATAAAAAGCAAATCCTTGGCATGAATAGGCGACTTGCTTCCTCGTCCAGTGTTATAGTTTGGCGTACGTGTTCGGCCACATTGTTCCAAATGGACATGAACTCATTCAGAGTAAAATTTGTCATGTCCATGATGGCTTGATTGCCGTTCTCTACGAAAAATTTGTTAATGATGGGAGAGTCACTTTCGTGCCCGTCCTCACTCTCTGAAAGGCTACCGAGCTCGTCAAAATTTTCGAGTTCCTCTTGCTGTAGTGCGGCCTGTTCTCCAAGTATCTGGAGTGCAGCAGCGGGATCGGCGCTCTTGAGTGAGCGTGTCATGACAGGCGATCGCGATGGATAAGCAGAGCGGAGGATTGGATGGGATTCTGTGTGAAGTCGCGTTCAGAAGTCTCAAGTGTGGAAGAGCAGACAGTGCATGGACTTTCGTGTGATCCGTAGATGGGCGCCAATTGTTCCATGGTAAGATAGAATTGTGTGCGCACACCATCGCCGAGTAGCGTTTGCTCTGTTTCGCGCGAAAATGCAGAGACTTCCGATGAGATTGTGTCTATTCGTTCAATGGGGACCAACGCGGAGGATGAACACTCTGATGTAGAGGGGCAGATCTGCTGTCAGCTTTGTTGTGTCCTAATTAAAGACCATTGAATTATGATATTCCCCTGCAACTCTGTAATTTCGATGTCAATCTGTAACAAACCGCTTTGATTTCGAAAACAACTGCTTATGTGAAAGGATTCACCATAACTGATCCCCACGCCTACTGTACATTTCTGCTCGGTACATACCCTTCGAAGGGTGGACATTGCTGGCTCTGCATTTGCCGAGACTCTTCCACAGCCGTTGATGTCTCCTTCGCGTCGACGTCACATCCACCCTCAACCTCACCGTCCCGCAAGCGTCTTCCCCCCACTCCTCTTTTCCGCATTCTCAACCTCGTCTGTCTGCCCGTTCCCTATTCGCACTCATTCCTGGTCACGAACACCCCCTCCCTCTCTCGTATCTGCTCGTCGCTTTCATTTCATTTCACGCCGTTAATCCCTAAATCCAACATGCCATTTCTCTGCAAGGGTCGACCGACGCCCCAGCGCCCGTGCAACAACGATCCCAGCGCAAAGCCGAGGTTTATGACCGCCATCGACTCAGTCCGCGATTTCATCCTCGAGCGCGACGCCTTCGGGCCGAAGTCCAGAGTCGGAAACCTCGCCTCCTCGCCCAGCAACGGCAGGCAGAAAAGACGCGTCCAGACCGCTGAGCGCTACATGGCCGCTCGCCTGGCTGGTGAAACAGACGAAGTGCTTCGCTTGGTTACAGAAGATGTCGAGCTGGAGTCGTCCCGCGATGGCAAAGTCGCCGGCAAGGACCGTTTTAAAGGTTATCTTACCCGCGTTAAGCCCACGGGAACTTGGAAGAGGGCGACGTGGAACACGGCTATGGGGAAGGCGGAAATTCTGGGAACTGTCAAGATTCTTATGGTCAACGTCGGCGTCATTGCCCATTTTGGCTTCAATCGCTCGGGAAAGATTAACCAAATATATGTAGGGACCAGGAGGAAGGCACAACAGCCATAGCTCGCCATCATACCGCACTTGAGTATGTTTTGTGGAGTTTGGGAGAGAATTGGGATAGAGCTCACTGCCGGCAGACGCTCGAGGCAGTTAAGACTAGGAATCAATTGTACAGGGTTAACTATAGGGAGCTGTCATTTTTTTGAAGGTTTTACAGTTGCATGCAACTCCTCTTGCGATTTGTAAACATATACAGGGGAGAAAAAGGATAGCAACGCTGAGGAACGTGATTAATCTGCAGGTATCTGTGTGGGCGAGTAATGTTTGAACAAGCGGCGGCAGTCAGTTTTGAGGTGGAAAACAATACCCTTTGTGAAACTTTAATAGAATTCGAACGGCTAACTATATTTCGACGCTACGATGAAGATAGACATGAAAGGGAAGGGGATGAGCTTAGCGCTCAAGTCTGAGACAAAAGAAACCACTCTGCCGTGACAGAATCCACCCAAAACCGTTAGGACCATAGAACTAAGACGCTCTTACACCTCCTCGATATCCGACCGCAGACCGTTGCTCCTGAGCATATCACAGTACCCCTCACTAATCTCAAAGATCCAAATACCCACGACTGCCTTTCCCGAGGTGTGCGCCTTCTGCATGATGGCTGAGGCGGCCGCCGGCGTGAGCCCGGGGACGACCTTGAGCAGGACGCGGGTAACAAACTCCTTCGAGTGGCTCTCATCGTTGAAGATGAGCACCTTGTACTTGCGACCGGGGTCCACCTTCTGGCGAACGCGCGCCGATTCCGTCTCGGGCGGGGTCGTCGGCGTCATTGTCAGCAAGTTGTTCAGCATGGTGCGCACGTCTTCCTTCACGGGGGCGCCCAAGGCGGCCATGCGCGGACGGCGGTGCGGCGACACGTGCGCGGGCGCGCGCGATGAGCGCGCGCGGGAAGGGCGGGCCGGGAGGACGGGGCATAAAAGCCATGGGTGAATGTGGAAGAGGGC